AAGGTACAATCTAAGATCAAATACAATACGACTGACATTCGACAGAAGAATGACATAGGGCCCACATATCAACAAAAAAAGAAAAACGTTAAACCTCAGACTACGACTATTATACTCACTTCTTTCAAAACGCTCAAAATTAAAATTAAAACAAAGACTGAACACCTACATTTATTTACTAAAGCCTATATTGACCTACGCTTCTCAAATAAACGGAACAGCCAAAACGACCCACTAACGGGAACCACAAATCTTTCAGTCAAAAACTTTTATGTCTTGAAAAATTATAATTCAAGTTCCATGGTATGTCACGAACATTACTTTTCATAAAGATCTAAACATGCCAACAGTTAACGACCAGATACGGACACACTACAAAAAATTTTACAATAGCTTACATGGACATACTAACACCTACAAGGTCTCGATTAACATGCCCGGAAACACGCTTCGGATGCTCGAAAGACGCTGGATGAGAGATTTCCTCACCTAAAAATATACTGAATTCAAGTTACGAAGGGATGCCGCTGGGCATTCCTTTCCCTCAAGCCGATCAAGCCACTATTAGCATTTTCCTGACAGCAGACTCGCTAATTGTCAGCAGTTCTGACAGGTGTGAGTAAAAAAAATTATTAAGGTAAATTAAGTAAAAAAAAATTTAAGGTACGAAATATGTTTAATAAAACATAATAACTATAAAACATATTTATACTTATACAATAACTAAAATAAAACATATTTTTAGAAACTACTGGAAAACTTTCTACAAAAAGCAAAATAAACTTTTTAAAGAATTGAAAATTCCTATTATTATTAAAAACGTTACTTCGAAACTAGGTAAAATATTATTTAAATGAATAGAATTTTCAAAATTTTAAAACCATTTTTTATAAATTATAGTAACAATTTTGTTAATATTTTTTTATCTAGACAATTTAAAAAAAGATAAATATGTACAATCACAGTTTTTTGAAGGAAATAACAACCATACTCCAATGAAAGTAGGTGTAACTTCAATTTATTAGTATATAAAGCAACAAAAGAGTGGAAGTAATTTTAAACCAAATTAAAGTGTATCATATAAAATATAACTTAGGATACGTAAGCAAAAGTGATGCACGAAGTACGAGGTTGGTTCACCTTCGTACCTCCTCCACAATACGTTAAAACCTCGTCAAATATGAGGATTCACTTAGGTCGTTACAACAGCTGTGCCAACAGCTATATTTATTTTATTTTATTAATGTTAGTGAATCAATGTTTAAATAGCTGTATAAAATATATTTAAATACTTGAGATAATACTCATTGTAAAAGTATTGAAAGATAAAAATGTCTCTGAAGTAAGGTCAATATAGCATTTTGACACACAATTAGCAACAATTCAAGATCAATAGTTTTTCACTAGATAAAGAGTTTCACATTTGTAAATAGCGTATTTGACCATTCGCAATTAAAAATTTAAAAACTAAGGTGTGTGCTTTATACCACACGATAGAAGTGAAAACATAAAAAATGCGAGATTAATAATATGAAATATAAATTATAGATAATAGCTGATTATTAATAGGATGAAATACTGAACATCCTCCACAGTTATAATTAGGTTTTCGACACTATTTTTTCCCTTTTTGCCTTTCTAGCACGGCGTCGCGTTATGATACAATATTTTGAATAATAGCCCACTACAGAAAGAATGAAATGCTTAATAATTCCCTCGCTTACAGCATGCAGGTCCGACTTTTAGTTTCTGAGATATTTTAATCCATATCTTCAATAAAACGCGTTATAATTTGATTTTCGACATTATATTGTCCATATCGGCTCCCTAACACGATGCCGATTTATGATACAATTTTAAATAATAGCCCATTACAAAGAGGATGAAATAATAAACATTTTCCTCACCAACAATGTGGAGGCCCAATTTTGAATTTTGAAGATATTTTAATCTATATGAAAAAAATCTTCAATTAGTCGACTACAGCCGACTATACCGGAGCGTTAAACATCGTAAATCTGAAGGCTCGATCTAATTCACTCTCCACAAAGAAGTGCAAAACGCTCCTAAAGAAGTTTTCACTTAAAAAAAAACGACACAAAAATTGGGGAATTCTATACGCCCTAAGAAAATAGTAGTCGGTTGCCTAGCACCCCCCACAAATCTCTTTTTTTTCATTAAATTATTTTCCAATTTGCCTTAGAATTTCGGCTATTATTACTGTTGTAATATTCTTAATTAATATTATTTTATTAAGTTTAATCATTATATTATATTAATTAGAACACTGTATTTGATTTGATCATTTGTTTATCAATTCTTAAAATCCCTCCAAATTTGGGCCAAATCGAAGGAGTGGTTTTTGAGATTTTGGCGTATAAAACAGGCGCCACCTTTTCATTAATAAAAGAGAAGTAGCTGGATAAAAATTGATACAAATTTATTTTTTTACTTTTTCTTGCCTCTACTCTAAAGGGTCATTGGCGTTTTCTATAATTTATATTCTGTTATAGTAATATATAATCATTAAAAATTTAAACGCGATAGAGAATCGCTCTTCATCATCTTGTAGAATATCTTTTAGTGTTTTTCCATCTATTTTTTTTTCCCGTAACTTTCGAATTGGAGACATCTGCCAGAAGGTGTTTCACAGTTTGAGGTGTATTATTGCATTTTTTCGCAAGTAGGAGCTTCTAGGTCTCTTAGAAGATAGTTATGTGAACGGGGGGGCGAGGTGGCCGAATGGGCTAACATATGTGCACAGCACCGCGAATTGCCCGGCAACCAGATAACCATGATTTGAGATTGAAGAAAAGTACGAGTTCGCGTCCAGGTGCCAGAGGGTATTTAAAAATTCATCGCCCTCTCTCTCCGGCCCGGGAAAATCCCGTATAGCCTTTAAAGGCGAGGTAGGGAAGAACAGAAGAAGAAAAAAGTTATGTGTGAACTGGCAGTGCCTAATCCTAAGACGGCACAGTATAATTTCTTCACGCCTGGAACTTCTGCTGCTAGTGAGGCATTTATCGCAATTTGATTTCACTTCTTTCAGCTTACACTCTTTAATTGTCCACTCTTTTTCCCACTCTGACAGTGTTTTTTTTTTTTCTTCGTTTGGTATATCCAGTGTTCTAAAGTGATATATTTCAATTTAGTCACTGCCTCTTCTTGCTGAACGGGCAGGATAGATCGAAATCGAACGAGCTGTTTCTGAAATCTGAGCGTATCTTAAAAAATATATTTATGTGTGTGTGAGCAAAAATATCAAATAGAATTTTATGAAATTGATATAGGACGATTTACGCACTTAATTGCACCTATCCGCATAAACCCTGAAAATTTTATCAAAGTCTGATAAACAGTAGCAGACATACGCCGAACTAGATGTTTTCCTTAGTTAACAAATCACAGGCAGTGAGGACTTTATAAGTAGCACTTTTATTTATAATGTCTGTTAAAAATGGTATATTAACATATTGAATTATACTATAACTATGATTACAAGAGTTCAGTCTAGATCTTCTACAAGAGTAGGCGGGAAGAGGTCTCCAAAGGAACTCATCAATAATTAATATTATTTATATGAGGTCGGTGAGAATGAGGACATTAGGTCAAATCTGTTATTGTCCATAGATCTTGATAATCGATCTTGGGTCCAGTCGGTGCCTTTTAGAAAACTATTTCTAAGCTATCAGAGATAGCCTGTCCTAGCTATCCTAGATAGCTCTAGCTCTAGCAGTTGAGTTATGAGAATTGTCAATATATGATTCACTAATTAGCACGGTTAATAAATTCAATTATTCAAATAAGGGTTAAATTAATATAATTATTATTTGTTATGGATTAAATCCTTACCGTAACTTGATGACTGAAACGGAAAACGCGAATAGAAATTTTCGATTCTGAAAACTAAGATTTTTGTAATTCACGATGCTTTCTTATCTTAAGTAGTGAGGGAGGAATATATGAACACACATATGAATACATTTTTCAAAATCAAAAACCTAATAAATAAGTAAAAAACAAAAAAAAAAAAAACTAATCTGGATACACTCCACTGGCTTTTAGCACCAGTGACGCGGTTGAGAAAGTAGCACAGAGATCTCTTGGAATCCTGCTTCTCCTTATATAGTTGGAGGAAGAAGCCTGGCTTGGGGTTCCCTGCCTAATTGTATATATTGTATGTAGCTATGGCTGTGTTTTTATGTTTTTAATTTACTTATCTTTAGGTTATTTTATTTTTTATTGTACATAGTTTTTGAATATCATTCAGTAATTACTTAAAAAAAAGAAAATGACCCATGAAGGCTCTTGGGTGCAGTACTATGTGAGGAAGTACTATTAACAAGGCCAACCGTTCTGCAGGGAGGTGATGGCCCAATATGTCGCTCAACTGCCAGGTTCCCCTCTTAATTATTTTTTTAATTAAGGGTGCCAACTTTCTAGAGGCTGGGTGTGCCCCATGAGGGTCTCTCGATCCCAAGGTCGACCCATGGCTCATGAAAAATTACTGATCATTAGCCAGATTCGAACCTAGGACCTTGAGCTCTGAAAGTCAGTGCTCACCCACTGAGTTACCCCGCTCCCCAGTTATTACTTTACTTTCGTTAATTTTATATTTTCTGTATATATGGTGTTCATATATCACTATAATTATTGTCCACGTGACAGATTATTATATTTCTAAATAAAAAAATCTGGAAATAATATATCAAATTAAATAAACTTAGGAAAAGCAAACATTGCAATCTCTCTGACGTAAGTTGTTCGTCGAAAAATGTTTTCAGAAACAGAACTACGTTCTGAGAAACATAATGAGTACTTTTATTCATTAAAAATAACAATCTCGTAGTGCCATCAGTGAGCTGTTATCATTCTTTCATTTTATGAAAGTCATTGTAGTCGGAATTGATAAGATATCCCGCTAGTAAATATTAGTCAGTCGCATCCTTCTTATACAGCCAGAATATTGATCAATTTCAAATGCTCAGAGATAGTAGTTAATGATGTATTTTCTTCTAGAATTGCTTAAAAATGATTTATTTGTTTGGTTCACTATTATCGGAACCGTTTTATATTTCCTGTTAACCAAAAATCATGGTTACTGGGCTTCACGAAATGTTAAATTCATTCGTCCGCTTCCATTCTTCGGAAATTCTTTCTCATCAACCTTCAGTATTGAACCGAGCCACAAAATACAACAAGAGCAATATAATTACTTAAAAGGTGAGTTGAATAATATTTATCAATTTAATCTATTTTTAAAAGGCAGTGCTGCTCGATGACCTAAACGATTGCGCGAACATTCATTTATACAATAGCAACATTGCTCAAATAGTTCCACAACTGGCTCGCCAAATTTGAGATGAATGTTGAATTTTTAATGGTTTTTGTTATTAATATTTAATATACATATATGTGTGTGTATATATATATATATTATGTTACTGATTTCAACGAAAACTAAAAGTTTATTTTAATTAGACCAGAAATTATAATTAAAAGTGAATACGTGATTTGTCAGTGCTGTAACATTTAATTAATAATTATTATATCATTATTGTTAATGCAAAATATCGTATGTAACAATTTTCACCGCCAATTCTATTTTTGCTAAGGTGGAATTCTGTATTATGAAAGTGCAATAAATAGTCTGGTGCTATGGAACTTAGAATAGCAAAATAAAATATTAAATTATACTAATAAATCATAAAGACATAATCCCTTTTTAGGCTCTTTTTAAAAAAAAATCAATTTTTATATAAGACATTTTGTACTAACACTAAAGATATACACTTCATTAAAATTACTTTTTTTTCAAGTTAAGTGATGTTTCGTCTATGTAATATTTATGCATTGTTAACAGTCAATTTTATAGCATTTCTTTTTATTGCTAATGTCTATTATATCCTAAATATGTGTAGTATATCTATGTTATAACATATACAAAATTTTGTATTACTAGGTCAACATTTTAATTTTGTATATAAATAACATTTTACTTTCATTTACCCATATATGAAATATATAGTAAGGGAAAGCATCACAATCATGAAAATTTTCGAATCTGAGTTGTACCTAGAGCCCAAATAACCAAGTTCCGCAAAACGGGCTGTTTGTATGTCAGCGCGCGCGAGTGCGTTTGTGTGTGTAAACAGTCTAGCTAAAAACGAAAAGTCGTATGAAACTGAATTTGCGTATTTAAGGTTTGTAGATGTCATAAAGGATGTTACAGCAACTTTATCTTTAAAATCGGCTGACCGGAAGTGGTATTTTACATCATTGATTTTATACAATTTTATCGAAAACGGCTCTAACAATTTTGTTCATTATGACAGTGTAAATTAAGCAGTTTTCAATATAATGTAGGTTTTAATTCTCATTGATGTTCTCTAATACGGTTCAAATGCCTTATTTTCATAATTTCTTCTTCTAAATCATCTTTAATTTTATTTGAAATAATTAAATATTTTACATTGAAAACTAAAATAAAAAATGGTTACATATAAATAATGAAGAAAATCGATAAGTAACAAAAGGAGAAATTGAAGTTGGAAGTTATACGGAAACAGGCGAAGAAAGCCCCCCGACCTTTGCCGATCCTTTACCTTAACAAATTCTCGATACCCCTCTGTACAGGGCTTTCATATTGTTGGTTTAACTTTTATATGTCACTTATCCATAACATTATAAAAAGGTTATCACGCGAAATGTTAATAATCTACTAATATAAATTTTCATAGCACCTTATTTGCTTTTTTGATGTGTTCTTATGATGTAAATATAATTCTTTTACAGCATATTTTACTAATATAGACCTAAGAATGTACAATATTTACTGACGTTGAGTTATTTTTTCGTCGAGAATCGAGACAAATGTTTTCGATAAAACTCCAAATTTTTCCAAAAGATCTATTTTTCCCAACAATTATTAATATTGTACACAAAAGGAAATGGAAAGAGATGCATAGATATAAATTTAATAAATTCGCTTAAGGGAAAAAACTTGATAATTACTTGTTTTAAATGAAGTAATATACCGTCGTTTTCACTTTGACTTCCCTCAATATGAAAATACTTATCTATTCTAACGTTGGTAAATAAAAGTGGTCTGATGTGCGCCACACTCCAGATTTTTTTTTCTACGAACTTAGTGTAATTTATTATGTCAACAACCAAAAGTTAATGTTAATTCAATATTTTTATGGGTGATATAAAATTTTGATTTTTTTTATTCTCTCTTACACGCTTCTACCCTTAAGGATCATTGGTGTTTTATTATAATTTATATTCCGTGATCGTAATTTGTCAACTTTACAAATTTAAACACAGTAGAAAGTCGTGCTTCACTGTCCTGCAGAATTTCTCGCAATGTTTTTGTCCTATTTTTTCTGTATTTTCAAATTGGAGGGATTCTTTCTATAGGTGTTTTGCTGTTTAAGATATATTAGTACATTTTTCACACGAGGGCCCTTCAAGACCTCTTAGAAGGCAGTCATGTGTAAACTTGCAGTGTCCAATCCTAAGGCGGCACAGCATAACTTCTTCTCTCTAGGAACTTCTGGAGATAGTGAACCATTTACCTCGCATTTCAATGTATTAGTTCTGTCAGTTCTCAAGCTTTATATGTTATAGAGAAAATCTTATGTTAGCGCTCTGTTCTGTTATTGTGAGTTGAGGTACAGTATCTAAATTCCCAAATCGTCTTATCGTTGCTAATTTACTTTTTTAAGCGTGTGAAAAAGCCAATATAACCAACAGAGATGAAGGAGGATTTGGAACCGAAGACCAACCTGCCAGGAAGATGGCAAGCTTAAATTGTGAGTAGGAGATAACTCCAGAGTTTAGCACAGAATTTAGTGAATTCAGATTCTAAGAAAGTTAATCACTTTAAAATATATTTTTTTCGTCCATAACAGATAGATACAAACCAATATTTTTCAATCCAATATAAAATAAATTTTAAACAGGGCTATGGGTTCTCTGTTGTCCTATAAACAGGTGCACATAGCCTGTTATAGAACAACAGAGCATATTGACAACAGGATAACGCAGCATGTTGATATGAAATTAAAACGAAAGCAGGCTTAGAACTAATTAGAAAATCGTCCATTCCTTCTAAAAATATTTTTTTTTTAAATGGTTTCTTTCCTACAGTAATTAATTAATGGGGGAAACTGGCGGCTGAGCGTGATATCGACCCAAGCACTTCCCTGCACGACACTACTCTTGTAACACTACTTTTTCACATTGTATTTGTATTGTACTTACTCACATTGTGTTGTTTTAATTATCTTGTATATTACTTTATCTTTTTATTTATATATATATACTTTTTTTCCCCCTTTCTTATGTACATATTGTGTGAATGAATACTATAGCACTAGTACCAATGCCCTTCATTGTGGCAGACTGTATTAATACTCAATAAAAGTTTAAAAAAAAAAAAAAAAACTCACATTGTAAATTGCATTTACACGTTCCTACAGTAATATGAGTACGAGCTGTCCTCCATCATATGTTAAGATTAATTAGTTATTAGCATATAAATACTATAATTATTACACACTATATTTAGTTAGGAAATTTCATTTAATTTGCTTTGAAACATGTTATTCCGTGGTACAGACTACTTGTTATCAAATTATTAACATCCGCCAGAAACTTCGACAATAGCCTCATCTTATCGTAACCTACGACTATTTATGGGTGATAAATATTCTTGACGCAGTCATTATAAAGATTTTATTGGTGCCGACGTTTCAACCCAAACATGTGGGTCATCATCAGGGCGTGTTTCGAGTACTGAAGGTATTATTGAAGTACTGACTCAGTCATATACTTATATATATGGAGGCTGGGGTAGCCGTATGGGCTAAGGCGCTTGCCATAGGTAACCAAGTTAAGCAACGCCAAGCGTGGTAAGCATTTGGATGGGTGACCGCCCGATTTGGGTGGCCGTCCACCAGGGAAAGCCACGCTGCTCGAGATAACCCCCCTCGGGCAAGTGAGGCCCAAAGTCTACTGGAGGCAACTCACACCGACCGGGTGTAGGACTGATGACCCTACCTCTGTGTACTTAAATCAGAATGTGGTCTAGGAATCCACATCTCGCGGTCAAAGATCTCCATGTTCTGTAGCGCCACCCGAAAAAAAAGAATAATATATATATATATATACACGCAGAGTATTAGTGATAGAATGATTCCTGTTATCAACTTGATATTAATTTCGTTTTTCATTACCTAGGTCAACCATATGGAGGAGTTTGGGGCTTCTGGAAACCTAAATTGCTACTTCTTGACCCACAAATTATTGAGCAAATTATGATAAAAGACTTCTCGTATTTCACCGACCGTGATTCGGCTTCTAATGCTAACAGCTCAGATCCTTTGTCAAACCACTTGGTCAACAAAACCGGAAATGATTGGAAGATCCTCAGGACCAAACTCACTCCTGTCTTCAGCTCTGGCAAACTGAAGACAATGATACAACAAATAATGGAATGTTCAGATGCTTGTGTTGAACAAATAGCTCAAAAAATAGCTACTGGAAAGCCTTTCGAGGTTTGTTATAAATAAAGTTCCATCGCTACATTATTTATTTAAAGTTTTTGAGTAGGTTAATCTCAAATGGTCAGTGTACATCATTGAAACTCTGATAGACTTGTGTGGCATTAATGAGTTACTTTTAACGAAGATTTGCATTTATTTTCGATTCGAAGGAAGGAAATCACGATATTTTATTTTTAAATACCCAAAGAGCAAGGGTGCCCAGATGGGAGTTGCATAACGCATGTTACGTCTTCGAAATTTTCGAGAGGGCATATTGTTGTTACGGGGTTTTATATTTTTGAGGGAGGGTGCATTTTTATGAGGTTATGAGTTTTTGGAGAGAAACATATTTTTGTGAGGTTTCAATTTAGAGTAATTTTCAAAGCAAGATGGTAACATGAAAAATAAAATAGAAGGAGTAATTGTAAATGACCTACAACTTTTCTAAATCTTACATCCGGTTTAGCTATTATTAAAAAGAGGAAAACAATAAAATTTCTTGGAAGGGGAGAGAGCATGCGCTAAATGTATAAATATTTATTTTTCTGAAACGCTACATGGCAATATTTATCCAATGAACCTCTTTTTCTACTTGTATGTATACGGTAAATAATATTTAGTAACATACATGTGTTATTAATTGGTAGGAAAACTAGAATGCATCTAAAATATTAATTAAAGCACAAATACCTAAAAAGATGACAAGTGCAATAAACGTAAACCCACTATTCCCACTTAAGTCGTGCACTGTATTTTTTTACATATTTCCTAACTTTTTTAGCCATTTTTATTATATAAGTAAATAATTAGTTAAGAATAATAAGTATTTTAGTATTACTTAGGGGTATTACTTAGGGGTAGCAATGTCCAATTACAATTAATTTAAATTATAAAAATAAAATTAGATTATTTATATTACCTACTAAAATAAAATCTTGGATGAAATTAATATTACATACTAATTATATTTAAGGTAAGGGAGGAGATGGCTGGCTTCACAATGGATGTCATTGGTTCATGTGCGTTCGGTTTAAACTTAAACGCTATAAATGATCCTGATTCTCAATTCAAGAAAATGGGTCAGGTGATATTTGCACCATCGAGAAAGACTAAGCTGTTCCGATCATTGAGTATGCATTTCGGCTTCGTGCTCAAATGGTTTCGCAGGAGTACGCTCAGTGCCTTCGGCGCATTTTTTATTAACACTGTAATGGGTATCGTCAAGTACAGAGAAGAAAACAATTTTCACAGAAGTGACTTTATTCAACTGATGATGGAAGTAAGAAAGGAAGAAGAGAAGCAATTGAAGGATGGCACTATTTCAAAAAGTAAGTACTTCATAATTTTTAAAATATACCTTTTTAAGTCAGTAATAAAAGAAATAACATGATCATGATAAATTATAATATAAAATGTGTAAGGATCGTGATTCTCGGCTTGCTTTATAAGTGATCATTTGGGATCGGATTTGTATGTAAAATAAAAAGCTAAACCATGCATATACGCATGAAACTATATTTCCCGAATGTGTAATCCCGACCTCAACTTCCCAGTGGCTAGTCTCCGCGAAGTTATACCATACCCCCGCAAATAGGAGAGGCCTGCAAGTTGAATGAAAATATACTTGCAAATACAGGCTCCTAAAATAAAGGAAAAATAAGTAGCATTTTCTTTTAGGGTGTCGGGGTGGCCGAGCGGACTAATGCATGTACCAAAAACGCATTACCCGGCAGCCTGTTAAACCAAAGTTTCAATCCGTATTCGTATCCGTATCCGTATATATATTATTACAGTAAGGCTCGAAATCGGTTTTGTACCAAATATAAGCTCCTGTCATGCTCAAATACCATGAATGGAGTACCGTTGGAATCAGAATTTCACGGGGGGTTAGTGAATCGTAATCTCCACTTTTGTTTTTCTTTATAAAATAAATAAAGTCGATACAAACATTTTTTTAGGCTTCAATACTGGAACAGTGGTAAGTCTGTAGATCGATACGGTACAAATTGGGTCTGGAACATTTTGATGCGTACATCAAGACCCTGATAGTTTCTCCCCAAAAATGTACTATTTTCGAGATAACGCATGGGATAGGGTTCACATCCACACAACCTTACGTTAATTGTGGTACTGTCATTGAATACATGTCTCATTTTGTCGACTTGTGGTCTCTATGATCGAAAGAGGAGGAGTTTATTTTATTTATAACACGATGGTGTTTTTGATCGGCAAGTCATTTCATCGTTAATGTTTCACCAAATTTCAAGATTGAGCCACCAATTTCGAAGGCTTCCTTCTCCTTTAGGCGGAACAAATAGTCCAATCACCCCGAAAATTCAGGCAAACAAGTTATGAAAGAAAACAAACTTTATTTGCGAATAGCTAAAAAAATACACACTTTTCCCTGGGTTATGCCCATGATTGTATAAAAGATTAATAAATTCCCTACCAGAAGAAAAAAAAATCATCGAAATTGTTTAGCATACAGCTTACTGAAATTTCTAAACATGTTGATTTCAAACAAAAATGAAGATTTAAATTAATTTTTGTTTTCTTCGATTATATTTATCGATAAAGTAACATTTGATTTCTTTATCTTTTGATACAATGCATTATTTTCTTTTTTTATTAATATGGCATTTAATAACAATATGCTATGCGAATTTTTCGCATGGGCCTACTAGTTATAAAATAATTTCGAGTTCACCTCCTGGAACTTTTAACCCTGTTTTTTAAGTGGCTTATTGGCTTATTCCTTAATAGTAAAAAATCAGTCATTAATCTAGGTAGATAGTGGCATTAAGACTTGAGAACAATTTTGCCGATTCCAACATACCTATTTTTGATATATCATTGAATAACTAAGTTCAGGCCTAGAATCATTCAAAAAATAAATTACTAATAAACAATTCTCACAGGTAATTCATAACATTATGTAACTTTTTTACAGTTGTAATGGATGATAATACAATAACTTCAAACTCTTTTGTTTTCCTTCTGGCTGGATACGAGACAACTGCAACAACATTAGGCTATGTATTTTATGAACTTTCTACAAATCCTGAAATACAGGAAAAGGTTTATAAAGAAGTAGAGGGCGTCTTTAAAAAGCATAATGGCGAAATAACGTGGGAAGCATTAAATGAAATGAAGTATGTTGAGATGGTGATAACAGGTGAGCAAAATATTCTCTAATTTTTAAACGAAAATTTCTAGTTATAAGACAATTATTTCTCGTTTTTATTTATTTAGCCAATTATTTCATTTATCGGCGCATCAATTATATAAAATTTCTCATGTTCTTTACAGTTTTCTCATTAAAAAAATTAATATTATTCCAGAGACACTAAGAAAACATCCACCTGTCATAGCTTTATCACGTAAATCAGTAAAGCCTTACAAAATTCCTAACACTGATTTGGAACTGCCCAAAGGATTTATTACAATCATACCAGTATATTCAATTCATCACGACCCTAGGTATTACCCAGATCCAGAGAAGTTTGAACCAGAAAGGTTTTCAGAAGAAAACAAACACAAATTAGTCAAAAGCACATATTTACCTTTTGGTGATGGGCCTAGAATATGCATAGGTAAGAAATATTATTGTTTATAAATTTTTATTAATAAATAGCAAACAATTTTTTTTTTTAATAAGAGCACATAGTTTGCTTAAAAGCAGCATAATGAAAAATTCTAACGATAAAAATAACTTATAAAAGTAAAAAAACTAGGTGAAAACCATAGCATACGTAAGTAGAGAGAGATATTTAAAGTGATCTCAACTGCTACAAAAAAGAGCTTATAGAAAACAATGAACCAAAATTCTCTAGAAAAGTTAAAAATGCATGTTTTTTTAAGTAAGTCACGTTATTAGTTGAATAGGAAGCAATAACTAAACAAATATTTTATTTAAGTAATTATAGAACTATGGGGCTCCACTAAACCATCGAATTCCTCTCATATCCAATCCTTGCAATCCAGAACCCTTCGTAAAATCCTCAATGCTCCCTACTCTGTTACAAATGAAATCAACCATGATGACATTAATGTACCTTATGTTTCAGATTTGGCCCAATCCAGATACCTATCCTTCCATAATAGACTTCAGAATCATCCCAATCCTCTATTTTCTATCCTTGCTTCCTCTTCAACTCCTGATAACCCTCCGAAGCTTCTGAAACGAAGATGACCCCGTTATTTCAAAATGTAGACATATTATTAGAGTGCTACCCACTGGGTAGTTTCTTGAAAACAAGTGTTTTCACGTCATTATATCCATTTGTTCAAATTTACTAGATGTATTTCTTTAATACAGTTGTAAATATCATTAAGAAATAAAAAAAAAGTAATTATCAATTATTTCACAGATAACTAGACAAAATGTATTTCAAATGAAAGTATAGTTTTATTTTAAATAGTGAATTTTCGAATATTAATCATCTAAAGTGATGATAAAATTGAGTTTTTTTTTACACAACTAAACGGAGCGACAGGAACTTTATGTGTTTTGGTTGTCCACTAAAAGCTATGTAACGTTTTTTAGCGAACGGCTGGATCGATTTTTAAGATTGATGGCTCAAATTATTCGGTAACATCTTCTGAGTGTTTTGAAATAATAAGAGTTAAATGACTGACCCGTGATTGAATAAAATGTTATTAATCAATTTTCTGAAAGCTGTGTTACGGTTTTTTGAGCGAACGAGTGTATCAATTTTCAAGTTTGATATCTTAAATAATTCGGTGATATCTCCTGAGTATTTTGAAAGCGAAGTGACCCGAGAGTTAATAGTTTGGTTGTCCAATAAAAGGTATGTAACTATTTTTAAAGCGAATGGCTGGATCAATTTTTAAGTTGGATGGTTCGAAATATAGATTGAGATTCCGTGAATGAATGGAATGGGTTTTAATCAATTTTCTAAAAGATATATAACATTTTTTTGAGCGAGCATCTGTATCGATTTTTAAGTTTGATGTCTTATATTATTCGTTGAGATTCTGTGAGTATTTGTAAAATATTTGAGCTCAAATTTCTGGCAAATTACTGTATGAAGTGTGTTTAATCAATCACCTAAAAGATAAGTAACGTTTTTTTGAGTGGATGGCATGACCTATTTATAACTTTGATGGCTGTAGTTGCTCTGTGAAATCCCGTGAATGTTTTGGAGCAATTTGAGCAGAAAATACTGAGAAAAAAAATTTATTATAGTTTAATTATTTCTATTATTAATAGATTTTAAATTATATGTAATCATATCTTAGGAATATTTTATAAACTGAAAATGTTAAAATAAAAAAATATTTGAACTAGAAAAAAAAAACGACTACAGAAATTGGGAAATTCTATCCACCCTAAGGGAATGTAGCTCCATATCTACTCAAATACTTTGGTAGATCGATAGGGAATTTGACATCTACGATTATTTAAACTTGGTATAGTAGTCGGTTAAATTGTTTTAACAATGATAAACTCTTAAACAAACTTTTTTTTTAAAGTTAATTGTGTCTAGTTTACAATGAAGCAATTGATAATTAAGTTAATTAAATATTTAAATATTTTTTTAGTAATCGCTGTCTATTTAACAAAAACCTAACTTAATTTAAAAAACACAAAACTTGAATTTCCTACCTCTCTTCTGAAAATCGTATCATTGTTTATATAAAGTGTTTTGTAGCTCTTGAATTCTGCTACGACTCCTTCAAATATTTCGATCTACTTAGGGAACACTTTGTATATGCATTAGAAAAAGTGATACTTCAAGGTCAATCATAACAATGCTTATTCATCTCTTTTTACTCAGTCTGCCGGTGTTCCTCAAGGTAGTATCCTAGGTCCTATCCTTTACACAGTTTATACAGCTGACATCCCAACCCAATCCAACACTGTCATCACCACCTATGCCGATGACAATTGTATCATATCATCAATAACGATCCTTTAATTTCATCCCAAACTCTTCAATCACATATCTTGAAGAATGGTGTAAAAATTGGAGAATAAAAATAAATTCCAACAAATCCCATCAAATCACCTTTACCCTCCGTCGTAAACCTATGACTTGTTGTCCTACAGTATCCTTCAATAATACTCCACTTATTCCTGTTGAGCAAATCCGCTACTTAGGACTCCACCTTGACAAACGACTCACTTGGAACCCCCATACCAGACTGGAACGACTAGAAACCGCCCGACGTTTTCGACTACTGCAGCACTTAATAGACAAACGATCTAAGCTTTCAATCAATTATAAACGACTCGTATATATGACAATAATAAGACCTATTTGGACTTACGGAATTGAGCTTTGGGGCTCCACTAAACCATCGAATTCCTCTCGTATCCAATCCTTACAATCCAAAATCCTTCGTAAAATCCTCAACGCTCCTTACTTTGTCACAAATAAAATCATCCATAAAGACCTTAATGTTCCATATGTTTCCGATTTGGCCCAATCCAGATACCTGTCCTTCCATAACAAACTGCAGAACCATCCGAATCCTCTCGTTTCAAACCTTGCTTCCTCCTCGATCCCTGATAACCCTCCGAGGCGTCTGAAAAGAAGATGGCCTCGGGATCTTCTAATATAGAACTTTAATTTGAGTTCTACCAATGGGTAGTTTCTCTTCATGTTGTCCATGCCATGTTACCAATTTCACATTTACTTATTGTATTCTCTATGTAATACAGTTGTAAATTCCATTAAAATAATAAAAAAATAAAAAAAAGTGACAGCTGCTGGAAAAATAATTCTATAAGATTATAGTATTATAGATAAATGTTTATGTATATTAATTTGTGACGAGAAATGTAAAATATTACTGTTATTATTTTCAGGTTTGAGATTTGCAAGAATGGAAATGAAAATAGCCATTGCAAAACTAATTATGAAGTACAAATTAAGTTTGAATTCAAAAACAATTACACCACTCCAATACTCGTCAAAAACTCTCTTTTTGGTACCTGTTGGTGGATTATGGGTTGACTTTATTCCAAGAAATAATCAGGAAAAATAGATATTTTACAGTAATGATTACAATATAACAATATTTTTAGTTAATCCCCAAATCATGTATATAAAATTGGATAAATTTTATCACATAATCACATTGATAACTAAATAAAGATACTATTTGTAATTATATTTTTATAACAGAGTACTTTTATTTATCTAGTTGTTCTTTGAGTATTAAACTCTACATTAAGCTCAAAAAATGATAATGTAATTATGATTTTGTGACATTGTATACAAACGAAATTTTAAAAAAGAAACAAATTGTTCGAAAAATTGTTTTTCAGTTTTTTTTTTGTTTTTTTTAATTCTATTATAAGTAATTTTCTGTAATAGAATATGTAAATAATTAAAAAACAAAAAAGGATTTATTTGTTTTTCATTGAAAAATTATGGAACCCAATAACTTCCGTTATTGTCTCACTATCAGTTTCTAATACTTTTCATTAAAACAACAGAGCCTTAAGTACAGAAAACTGTTTTTTATCTTCAAAATTCCATGTTCACTCATTCATTATAGTCCACGGTACAGACCCGTTTTTAAGATTTTCAATAAATTATTAACATCCATCTAAAACTTCGTGAATGGCTTCATCTTACCGTAACATAACTTTTTTATCTACGAAAGTTCTCGGAAATGAGGCTTCAATCAAGAGTAAACTTTGTCTATTTAATGAGGTAATAAAAATCGTAAATACCCATTTGATCTCCATTTGAATCGTAAGATAGTTTGATCAGAAAGTCGAGGAAAAAGGTGGCCTATAATTTTACTAGAGAGCAGGGTAGCTCAGTGGGTAGGGTACTGGCCTCCAAAGCTCGAAGGTTCTAATATTCCGGCTGATAGCAGGCAATTATTTATTCTGCTACATTGATCGTGGATCGACTCTGGGATCGGGAGATCCTTCTGGGGAACATCCAGACTCTATAAAGAAGTTACTCTTAATTAATGAAGGAAGAAAGCCTGGCAATTGAGCAATCTCGCTTTAATCAAATCACCTCCTTGCACAGCCGTTGACCAAGTACTTCCTTACTTAGTGCTGAAACCCCTTCATGGATTATAGTTGTACAGTTTTTTTTTTTTTTTTTTTATAACATGGCTTAAACAAACACCATCTAAAAGGTTCATTTAAACTGGAAAAAAATATAGCTGCGAAGAAGGCAGACCTACGTGCCAGTTTTAATTATATTTTTTTACAATATTTTAGAAATAGTAAATTATCCATTTTTGTTAGAAGACCATTTAATTTCGGCAGAACTGCGTGAATCTTTAAAACTATCAAGTTCTTCATGATTGAAGGATATATGTATACGTATGTACAATTAAAGAACACAGCATGCATAACAAACATAATTTTTGCTACACCTAGGTGTTTAGGATTAAAACCGTTATAGAATTTCCTTCTTTAAAGTTCTATAGCTTTAAAAATTGGAAATAAATTCGAGCTAATCAGCCTTTCTGAAACCTAACCGGCTTCGAAGGGAAACTTCTTTATCAGTTAGTTTTTATAAAAATATACTACTGTTTTCCTACCATTTCATTGACATCAGCAGAAGGCCATAACATTAAATTATCTCTGTTTATGCAAATAGAGATGATAAATAAATCGCGAAAAATGCCTGCTGTTCTTCAAAACCAAATTTTTTGTTTTATCTTAAGCTTCATTGCATGTCCTGTTATGTCATCCACTTAAAGAGGATTAAAATCTTTAAGTTTGCTCCTGTTTATTATGTTTTGAGAGACTAACTTTAACAAACTAAAATTGATCAATAAAAATAGGAATAGATAATTTTATTTTTAATAGCTATTATTAAACTGTTCTTAATTTTATTTTAATAAAAATAAATTTACATTTTTGCTTTTATCGCAGAAACCTTTTACATAAGTAATAGGTATTACAATCTGTGACAAAATAAATAGGTCAATCCGAAAGCAGATCCATAACCAGTAAAAAGAAAATATACAGAAGAAAAAGATTCAATTTTCCCAATGTCTCAGGGATTGATAAGAGTTGTGCAATAGTGAAAGGGTATCAAGGAACCGATCTTGGCCGGAGGCAAAGACAGTAACTGCACCTACCCATTTCCTCCCGACCCCGCTAATGATAGGAATCTTATCTCGTAGTCTGTCCTCAGGTAGTGCGTACCTTCTTTATCAAATCCTGGCCGAATATATTCATGAGGTACCTACCATTCACCACGTGTTCATAAATTCGATTCCATCATTTTGTTCAAACCTATCTCCATGTAACCTTTACTCCCCTACTCTAATTTCTTTTCTTCCTTAACATTCGATTTGATCACTTAAATAAGTTTTGTTTATATCATACAGACAGTACGGTCTTGCTGCTATTCAAGAAGGGATGGATTCGATTTCCTGCTATGAGAAATATTTGAAGTGGTTAATTTCTAAATGGGCCACATAAAGTTTTTTTACGATAACATAAAACAACACAATCCAATTTAAATAAAACGAAGTTAAACATGTGAAGATTATGGGGTGCGCGGATTACACAAGTTACAACCCAACTTTGGGTCTGTTCCTACAAGCACTCCCCTGGACTGTTTTCTGCCGTAACCTATATAATCAACTATTAACTATACCATTTACGAAAATCGCATATGTTTACATAGTATAATCAGAGCCCTACGTTCTTCATCTTTGATATAGGAGCATATTATGCACGTGTTTGGGGGAACATATTATGCAAGTGTTTAGGAATCCACCGTCCCTTACAGAACCGAACGAGGAACCGTTCCAGCAAGCGGATGACAGAGAACCGAACGGTCACGTTAAAAATAACGTTAGAAAAAGATTATCTTGCAAGACCGAACAAGACTTTCAAGGAGGCCTTTGGCAGAAGAGAATGAACAGGCAATAAAAAAAGGCAGGCATCTAAAACTACTTTTTACAGCTATTTTTTCTTGAGGCTGTGATGGCAGCGTGTGTTGAGTCTTTGTCTCCTTTAACATTCTGGAGTCTAGCGGCGCCAGTTCAAATCCGACCTGGGCGGGTTTTAAGGAAAACACATTATGCTCACCAAGGGATGGCAAAATGTTGTGCTAAAGCTAAAGGACTTCTTCAATGACCAAACATGAAAAATGGTATTAAGAATATGGTAAAACATTGTGAGATATGTCAAAAATATGCCAATTCCCAATGCAAGGAGTCTATGGTGTTGTAGGAGGTAGTTGAAGAACCATGGAGAAAGGTAGCATTGGACATCATGGAGTTGCAGGGCTTGAAATATTTAATAGTTGTTCATTATTATTCTAAATTCTGTGAGGTATCTATGCTTGAGGACTTGGGGTCTAGCTGTTTCATCAAATCTCTAAAACAATTTTTTTCAAGGCATGGAATTCCTTGTGAGGTAATCACAGATAAAGTATCACAATTTAGTAGTTCTGCATTTCATGAATTTGGAAAGCAGTGGGATTTCAAAAGTACCATGGTCAGCCCAAATCATCAACAGGTAAATGGATGAGGAACGTCATATACAAACGCTTTTAAAAGGCTGCTAAAGAAATCACTAGAAGCTCAAAGTGATCCGTTTCTGTGCTGGCTGGAATTAAATAATTCACCATTTGCAGTTATGCTCTCTCCTGCTGAACTATTGACGACTAGACACCTGAGAGAAGTCTTGCCCCTAACTAATAGTCATTTACAATCAATGGTGGTAAAGGAAAGTGAGATAAAGAAGATACTTCAAGAGAAGCAGAAAAGGAACAAGGGTTATTATGACAGAGGGACAAAACCTCTCAGAGACTTGCATATAGGAGAAAAAGTTCAGGTGCAGACAAGTAAGTTTTCGGACGGGTTCCAGCAAAAGTGATCGGGAGGATGGATCGCCCAAGATCATATTGCTTGCGAAAGGATGAAGCTGGAGGAGTCAAGAGAGAAATAGAAGCACGTTAAACCTCTTTTACAGTACAATGGTGGCCAAGAAGAGCAGCAAGGAGAAGAAACTGAACAGAAAGAAGAACAGCCAGAGGATGAGGATGAAACTTTGTTTGATGGTTATGTCACCAGAGCAGGGAGGGTGGTGAGACATAACCACACCTCAAGGTGGAGAGAATGACTTCAAGAACGGAGATGTTAAGATATGTAAGACTACGGTTATGTACATATGTTTAGAAATGTAAGTAAAAAGAATAACAGACAAGTGAGGTTGTATAAATCTAGATGTGTAAGTTTGTCAATAAAAACATTTAATCATCTTCTAGTGATCATTATTTAAATACAGAAATATAACAGCGTGTTGAAATTTATTTATTGAAGAAATCTCAACCTTTTCACTCCAGTAGGTAGGGAGGTTATCGGAAAAAAAAGCTATTTTGTTTTATTTAAGAGATAAAAAACCTCTGTTCATTCTTAGCAGAAGGTAGGATATTCAGTTAAGCATAATGTTAATGTAAGCTAGTAAGTAAGTATAAATAAGATAAGTAAGAATAGTAAAAGATTACAATAAAAGCAAATATTAACCACATTTTTTAACTAGCATGTCAATGTACATACAGTACAAAAATCGTTTTAACTTATAACCATAGTAAATATTCACATTAGTAACAGTCAACAGTAAATTTATTTTTATTACCAAGTACTTTTAAGTACATAGTTGTTACTTAAGGATATTTTTTATCTTTTTTTTTTTTCTAGCCTGTTCTTACAAGTATGTTACAACTTGTAGGCCTCTTCTAATTAAGCGGTTATGGTCTAACTTGCAGTGGGAACCAGCTATAGTGGGAAGTAGGGCCAGGGTTCAATCCTATGATCTTTACTTTAGTAGTATAGTGCGATTTTTACTTTACTCTGGTATACTGGCTCCACTTAAGTATGTTACACTACATCAAAATAAGAAAATAATTGTGCAGTGGCGATTATCTGGCCTATACAACAGAAATTAGAAAGTTTCAAAGATCTTTCAACAAAAAAGTCTCAGTAATTAAAAATCAGGTCAGGATTAATTAATTTGTTATTTATCCTAGTTGCAAATAAGAAGTTCAACC